GCCTTTCATTTGAGACTAACTAAGGATGTCTTACGGACGAGACTTAAGACGACTTACGGACGTCCTTAGGACGTCAAAATGCCCGCTGGGTATATATATATATATATATATATATATATATATATATATATATATATATGTTTTTATTTGTATATATATATATATATATATATAAATATATATATGTAAATATATATATATATATATATATATATATATATATATATATATATATATATATATATATATATATATATATATATAATATATATATATATACATGTATATATATATAACATATATAACATATGTAACATATATATATATATATATATATATATATATATATATATATATATATATATATATATATATATATATATGTATATATATACACATATACATATACTTGAAAACAACGCACAACATATTGTCTTAAAAATCGTAAAAATCGAACATAAAACTCAAAATATAAGGTAAGATGGCATCCATAACTAACTCATAAAAATCGGTTATAACTTTTTTGTATTAAAAAGGAATTATCACAATCTTTTAACTTTGAAAAAATTAGAACTTAGTGTTGAAACTTTATATAAAGGATAACAAGATATTCTTTTTTTAATGGATAACAACTGGTCGAATTAAGACAATTTCAGACTTTTTAGTTTTGAGCTAGCAAAAACATTGAGTTTGACCAGCCTCATACATACCATTTATACTGGCGTCGCCAATATATAAACATTAAATCCAAAACCAAAAGCAATTTCCTTGGAAGTGTGACCAAGCATAGTTATTTATTGTTTTATTTCTACAACATTACTAATAGAAATGTAAAAATAAAAATATAAATGAAAAATAAATGTAGTAATTAAAATAACTTGCTTGTCCGTAATGATTGCTGTAATAAGTTATAACATCCGCCTCAAATATCACATCCCCCATAGAAAAATGAAAACGAGAATGCGTTTTCGAGTCATTGCACTTAGCACGGCTTTCACTAATACTCAGTATATGAAAGAATTTTTATTGCGAAATGCAAATAATTAATAATCTTAAGAAATATACTACTTTTTTTTATTCTGTAAAAAGTATTATTTATATAACACATAAGAACAGTAGAAAAGTATTATCTTAAGTAATTTAAAAAGTTTTCATTAGAATCATATCTATTACTTTAGAAAAATAATGTTCAAAAAGTTTTTTTTTAATTTTGAACAGAATATTTCCTTAAGTATTACTCTTAATTTCTCAAGATATACAACTTATAATACAACTTTTTTTTTATTCTGTAAAAAGTATTATATAAACAATACGTAGAGAAACAGAAAAAAATTATATTGAGTTATTAAAAAAAGTTTTACTCGAATCTTAACTATTACTTTCGAAAAAGTAAATTCAAATTTTTTTTTTTTAAGATTGAACAGCATTTTTTTTTTTAAATAAAGGTCAATATTAAATCATTGTGTAAGTTCTAACACACTGTAACAACTTAGACAATGAGAAAATAATGTGCTTTGACGAGAAAATATACAGTGTCAGGTCACAGTAACTTCACATTAGCAGTGGCGCGCCACTTAAACAACTTACGTAATGAGGAAATGTTAAATTTACTATGCAATGGTGTAGCGAGAATATTTGCACCCAGGGCAAAAATGTAGAAAAGCGCCTTTTCTACAATAAATAAAATATATTGCTTTTTTATAGTAAAATAAACTTTTTTTTTTGCTTCTCGTTTTTTTGGCGCCTACGAGCCCGGGGGGCAATTTCCTACTGGGCTCCCCGCTAGATTACTGAGTTGGTAAAAACAAATAGCAGATACTCAAACAAAAAAATTAGAAACATTTTTCTCACAAATTGTTTACTTTATACAATTTAGTGATAAAATAATGCTACAGAACAAAATTTTATTACAGGCAAGTTTTTTTTTTTTTTTTTTTTTTTTTTTTTTTTTTTTTTTTTTTTGTTTATTTTGCCGTTTTAATAATATACAGTTTCAAAGCATTTAAATAAAAATAAATATTGGCGGGGCAAGAAGAAGACATATTTAGCCTTTTCACCGAGCCCCATTCTCACGTATTTAAAAAACCGTAATATTTAAATATCATAGTTAACAAACAAATTTTTGTATTAATATTTTTTTGTATTTGAGTTTTAGTTAAAAAAAAACATTTAAAATCAGATATATTAAAATCCATGAGTAAGAATGCCTGTTTTGATTCATTTTTAAATTGTTCTATACTAGTTTTATGTGTATTTACAACCTTAGGAAATATTTTCCACAAGTAAGGTCCATGATAAAGAACTGAATATGAAGTTAGTTTTGAATTATATTTTGGGACAACAAAGTTGTTGTTTAAAAATTTTGTTGGATATTTATGAACTATTTTGTCAAAATAGGATTGAAATATTTTAGGAGATAATCCTATATTTGTTTTATACATGAACATTAAAACTTGGTGTAAGTTGATTTTATATATATTTAGTGCTCCAAGTATACGCAGAAGAGGCTCACAAGGTACAGTTCTGTCAGCTCCAAATATTGCTCTGCACGCGTGTTTTTGTTTGCAGTATAATTTTTTTAATTTTGTATGGTTTGTACTTGCCCATGCAATATTGCAACAAATTAAGTAAAAATGAATGAAAGAGAAATATAAACTTTTTAAAGAATTGAATTATTGTTTAGAAATGGTTTAGTCCTATATATCATTGCAAAATTTTTTGATACTTTATTTTCAATACTTTTTATGTGTAAATTCCAACGTAAATGATCATCTAAGATTACGCCTAGAAAGTTTACTGAGTTTTCTCTTTTAATGTTAGTGTTATTGATTATTAAATTAGGCAATTTGATAGGAATATTATTTGAATTATTCACTTTGTGGAACAAAATAAATTTGGTTTTATCCACATTCAGAGAAAGTTTATTACTTTTAAACCACTCATTAACTTTCGATAATTGTTCGTTTGTTGTTTTAAATAGTGTATTGATATCTCTGTGGGAATAAAAAAGATTGGAATCATCTGCAAAAAGAATACAATTTAATAGGTTAATAACTTAATATTTTTTACAATTTTACAAAAAGAATTTTTTACAATTTTACAAAAAGAATACAATTTAATAGGTTAATAATTTAATATTTTTGTTATTGGTTTGTTTTGTTTTTCCTTTAGTTATATATAAAGTACAAACGATTAGGGGTAATCATTTACGAATTGCCTTCTTTACATTTATCAAAAATTGAGTGTTTGAATAAATAAGTTTTCTTTAAAAAAAGTTTAGAATTGTAAAATTAGTAATTTTATTTCATTTTCAAGAAGTTCTCAACGCTTTTTATGTAGTTTTAAATTACATAAAAAGCGTTCAGAACTTCTTGAAAATGAAACTAACAAAATCTTATTTCGCTTATAAATGCGAGCAACTAAACATATAATTTTTTTATATTATACGAGGCAACTTGTTGATAAATTGAATCCGCTTTGAATCCGCTATTTGGCGCGTTACGCTATTAGAAAGTTATAGAGAAGTGTTAGAGGATTTTGAAAAATGTTCTGTGAGGTTCTTAACGATTTAATTAGCGGATTTCAACAAACATATTGCAAAGCCTTTAAAACACAATGCATAAAAAATGATGTCAAAAGCTTTTGTAGTTATCACGCGAAATACATTTGTATATAGCTCATTTTCTAGCTCTTTTATAAAAAGTTTTATTTTACCAGTGAAATATTGATTTTGATTGCTAAAAGTATTTATTTATTAATATTGTTTGGTTATTTAACTGCCCATTAAAAAAATAATGAAGACTAATAAAGAAATATATTTTAAGGCATACAAGATTTTTGGTTAAACGAAAATATGCGCAATAATTTTGTTCAATATGATTTTTCTAACTGAGCGCAAGTGACAAAAATGCCTTTTGAAACAGCCGTGTTAGAAGTGTACCAAGTACATCCGAAACATTCAGTTATAAACAATATAAAATAAACGCAACGAGATATTTAAAAACGTTATTCTACTAATATACTATAAAGGAAGTTAGCCTAAAATGGTAATATATTTTAAATTCATATTTATGAAGTTTTGATCATAATGTATTGCGTGACAATAGTAAAACAAAAGATTACACATGAGGGATATAATATTTTAGGTAATAAAAATACCAATCGCTTGCATAATTTTAGAAGCCTGCATATGGGGGATGTGATATTTTAAGTAAGAGTTCCAGTTTCTTTTTGTGATATATACAGAAATAACAAGTGGTGGAAGTTATATTTTAGATACCAAATACTAATAGTTTGAAATACTTGATAAATTACTTAGAGGGATTTTAGAAGTAGACATAGGGGGGTGTGATATTTTAAGTGAGAATTTCATTTTCATTTTGTGACATATACAGTAAATGAACCAAGGGGATGTGATATTCTAGATACCAATTACTAGTCGCTTGAAATATTGTATGAATTACTTAGGGTGATTTAATATTTTAA